GGGAATGGGGCCCCGGGCCCGGGAGATCAGGGCGGTGGGGCCAGGTCCGGGGGACTGAGGCTGGAGAGTCAGGAGCGGGGCCAAGGGCCACGGGACAGGAGATGAGGGGTGGGGAAGGGGGATGGAGTTCCCGGGTGGCGGACAGGTGGGGGCAGCGACCTGGGACAGGAAGCGGGCAGCGGCGGGGGACCGGCGAGGGGCCTGGGGTGGGAACAGGGCGAGGGGATCATACTAAACGGCCAGGTAGGAACAGCCTGGGGTGGATGTGGGGTGGGGGGTGATGGACAGGAGTCCACGGGGGGTGGAGTGGGCAAGGGTCAGGGAAAAGGAGAGGCCAGGAACTGGCATGGGGAGAAGGCAGGAAGGCAGGGCCGGAGGAGAGTCGGGGGCAGGGGGCGGGGGTGGGATGGGGGTAGCGCAGGACCGAGGTGGAGCTGGAGGCAGAAGCCTTGGGGTGTAGCCAAGGGCACAGAGGCCGCGCTGGGGTGGGGGTGGCAGAGTGAGTGCGGGCTGTTTTGCGGCCAGTGACCCAGGCTTGGAGATGAGGCCCAGGAAGGCCCCGAGACCCTCGCCCTCCAGGTGGGGACAGGGACACTGTGGGTACATGGTCAGGGACAGTGGTGATGAGGAAGATGAGGGAGCAGGTCGAGGTCGGTGGGGAGGACAGAACAGGGCTGGGAGACCGGGGTACAGATGGGGGAGTGGCACAGGGTCTTCCCCTCCAATCTGTTCCTGCCTGGTTCTGCTGGGGCCTGGCCAGTCTGATGCCACCTGTAGAGCCCACTGAGGTACACTGCAGACTGTAGGGCATCCCCATCCCCTGGCTGAGGTGGCCCAGAGACCCAGAGTGGAGGTTCATGTTCCCCACCTGCTTCCCATCTTGCACAGACCCAGTGCTCTGAGAGATGCCTGGGGGCAGAAGGCTCTCAGCCTGGCTGGTCCATCCGGGTTCATCTGGGGAGTCCCAGGTGGACGGGGGGTGGTTTGGTCAGCACCCCTGCATGGTAGCTACCCTCGACAGCCTTCAGTGCACAGTGCGGGTCTATGCCAGGACTAGCTGTGCCCTGGGGACCAGCATTTGTTGACTGCCGTTACAAGGTCAAAATCAAATTCACTCTTTTTTCCCCAAGGAAATTTAACAGCCCCAAGTTAGGAGTCACATGAACAGGTCTAGAAAACATTTTTTAATGCCCCACGGCTACTTCTCTGAAGCATTGAAATCATTAGAAATACTTACATAGACTTCGGTGCCTGGGTCAGTGGGCGTCTGTCCTTGGTGACGCTTGTGGACGGGGCTACAGGCCCTGGGCAATGCACCATCTCCTACGTGGGAGCCAGATTCAGTGAGAAAAGCCAAACCTGGGCAGCACTTGATGCTCTTTCCACACTTACAGGAGAGTCTAGGAGGGAAGTAAAATTACCTCAAATAAGGATTTTTAAAGGGCTCCATTAGCCTTTTTGGAATGGCACGTTTTCTTAGTAGCAGTTCACTGGGAGTTGCCTGGACATTTGGTTGTAGAGGGTTTGTGTAATGAGAGAGGGTTTTAAACCCAGCATTGTCTGTCTTTAAAGAAGGACCAGTGGTGTGCCAGGCAGGCAGCACAGTGCTTCCAGGCCAAGCTCCGAGCAGCCTACCTGGGTGCACACAGCACTGGGCGCGCCAACATGTGCTGACTGGTGGGCAGCAGCCTAACCTGGTGTTTGCCAGAGCCTGCCAAAGCCGACTGTGACCAAAAAATGTTTCCTAATTTTCTAGGCCATCTTAGCGGCTCAGAGACGGGGAGAAGATGTGGAGACTTCCAAGAAATGTAGGTGCTCAGTTTCCACTTGCAGGACGAGGGTATTCTTTGGAGTTCACCTCTGCGGACATGTGTGTGGGCCCCAGGGTGTCAGGAAGGTGGCTGCCAGCAACTAAAGCTGCTGCCGAGCTGGGAGATGTTTGGGATCCTCTTGGAGTGGCTGTGGTTGACATAGGTCAGGAGGGGTTGCTCTGCCCACCTCCCATGGCTGGGAGAAAGTCCTGCCCTGTACTCTTAGGTGTGTGAAGTTTCCTGAACTTGGGGAGCTTGGTTCCCATTCCGAAAGGACTTTGCTTCAGTTTGCTGTAAACCCTCTTCTCTGCTCTTGCGTCACACCACTCCAGGGGCTGCCGGTCAGAACAAACAGCATTCTATCACCAAGAACACGGCCAAGCTGGACCGGGAGACTGAGGAGCTGCACCATGACCGGGTGACCCTGGAGGTGGGCAAAGTCATCCAGCAGGGCCGGCAGAGCAAGGGGCTGACCCAGAAGGACCTGGCGACGGTGAGTGGGACGGGTCCTCTGCGCCCAGGCCGTGGCCGGCAGGACGGAGACCAGGACTCAGAGAGCTCTGCGGTGTGGTTTAGCCGGCTCTCTCTGCCCCACTGGCACCCCGAAGGCCCCTGGGAAGGGAGGCATGGCAGGTCAGCCATCACTGCTCTTAAATGTGTGTGACCCCAGTGTCTCTGAGACCAAGGGCCCTGGGTCCACACACTGGAAGGCGGTTCCCTTTCATTTGGGCTAATTTTGCACTATTTTCTCATTGAGCTGATGTGTTGAAAATACATCTCTTTAGAAAATCAACGAAAAGCCACAGGTCATCGCGGACTACGAGAGCGGACGGGCCATTCCTAATAACCAGGTTCTGGGCAAAATTGAGAGAGCCATTGGTGAGTGTCCTTCTGTCCTTCCTTGGGTCTTGGCTGCTGCCGCCTGACCAGGTGCAGGACCTGCGGGGGTGCAGGAAGGCCTGAGGCCTCAGAATTCTTGGAGCCTTAGGAAGATGCCCTCAAGGGAGGTGTATCTCATTCTCTCCTCTTTCAACTCCCTCTTTGCCCGCTTCACTGTCTGCCAGCCCTTCCTCTGAGTCTGTGGGCAGAGCCCTGTGGCTGCCTGATCAGGTCCTGGCATCCCCTGGTGATGGCCACATCCCCTTCTGCTCCCACACAGCCCAGCGCATGGAGCCCCAGAACATTCAAGTCCTAGTTCTGGGGAGGGATGTCTGCCCTTTCCTGGAAGACTGGAAAGTAGAAAATAAGACAAGGGACCTGGTGGGGTGTGCTGAGAGTCCAGGCAAGGATGGGGTGGGGCTCGTCCCCTCTCCACTTCCCATGGTAGAGGGGGCCAGGGCTCCAGGGGCAAGCTGGGCCCCTGCTGCCCCCTTGGGGCTGGTGGGAGGGTTGCCCTGGTGCTGCCCTGTCCCCGTGAGGTCCCAGAGGGGAGCTGCAGTTGTCGGGCCAATGGCTCTTTCAGGCCTCAAGCTGCGGGGGAAGGACATTGGGAAGCCCATCGAGAAGGGGCCAAGGGCGAAATGAACACAAAGCCTCGAAATCTGCGCTCCAGCTGCTCCCTCCTGGCTGGTTGCCCTTGACCACCAGTGCCAGTGTGGCCCCTCCACTTGGCCAAGCGGAGCACAGGGCAGTAGCACTGCCTGGGAACCTCCTGCCCACATCTGCTGTCAAACAAAACCTTGCAAAGTGTTTGCTTCTCCTGGTATTTTTTTCCTGACTCTTGTCCCTCAGATTGGGGTGCACAATGCTACCCTCCTCTCCCCCATGTTTGCATAGTCTCAGTGTGGCTCCCAGGGGAACACTGAGTGGGGCTGCCTCGCTTGGCGGGGCTGTGGGTGGGGGGCCCGGCCGGGAAGAGAAGGTGCGCCCCCTAGTTAGGCTTTTAGAAAAGCTAATAAACATTTGTAGCCCTACCCGCGAGTGCCGTGTGCTTTTGCTGTCTGGTGTGATGTGCCTGCCTTTAGTGGGCCTCTGTCTGGCCTGCTGTGGGGCCCCTGAGGGGCCGTGAAGGCCACACTCTGCACGGTTGGTTCCTGGTCCCCGTCTGCAGGGACGCTGTGTGGCATCGGTCAGCCTCTTGGCGCCCCCCGCCCTTGGTGTTGAGCTCCCAGAGCCCAGTGGGCCGGGCGGCGAGGTGGAGCCTCCTGTGGGCTGGAGGGGGCATCCGGCCGTGCAGCTGTGTCTAGTTTGGTCTGTCACTCTGCCTGGATAGCCAAGCCCAGTGGGGCCTTCCAAGCCTTGTGGAGGGGCACCCACATTTCCTGCATGGAAGATTGGAGCCTGGGACGATTTTTGGGTTAGAAACACTTGACTCCCTTTCATTAGATGAGGATGGTATGTGGGGCACCGGGGGCCACACCCCAGGGGTGTCACCTTCTCTCTCAGACCCTGTGAACCCAGGAACCTCAGCTTTGCCCTCCAGTGACCTGCTCAGGGGCATCATGGCACCAAGTGACCTCTGTTTCAAGACGTCCTTCTGGAGGGACCGGAACCTTTGCTGTGGGCAGTGGGCGGCAGGCAGCCCCAGCAGCCCAGCTCCCTGCCACCACAAGCCCCGAGGTGTTCCTCCTCAGCTTGTCACTTGCACCCAGTCCTAAAAGGTGTGCAGAGCCACCTGCCAGGTGGGGGCTGCATGGGGCCCGATGTTGGGGTGCCTGCCGAGCCTGGGCCATGGCTGTGGCTCCCGGGGTTGTAGGAGTCTGTCTCCTGGCGCCCCTCACCCTGGCTGTTACGCCTGCCTCTTTCCTGTCGCTGGAGTCACTGAGCTGTGGGAGCTGCCCCCAAGCACATCCCCAGGCAAAGCAGTCTGGGGGTTCTACGGCTGCCTCCCAGCTGGTGGCAGCGCAGGACACAGGCCTCAGGCAGCAGGGGGCCGGAGGGCCGGCATGTTTATTGATGGGTGAGGACTGTCCCAGGCACGTGGTGTGGCAGTCTGTGCAGGTGGGCGCTGGGGCCTCTGCGTGTCCAGGAGAGGGGCAGTGTTGGGCTGGGGGAGCTGTGTGAGAGCCAGGATCCCTTGGGGTGTCTACTGGTCGTTGGTGATGGATGCCGGCAGAGTGACGCGATCCTAGGAGAGGAGCTCTGTGACTGCTGGGCAGCGGGCAGCCACGGGAGGACGGCCCTGGACAGGTACGGCTGGCACAGCGGCTCCTGCCCGCCCGTCCCCACCCGGGGCTTGTACCGCATTGAAGAGAATGTTGTCAAAGCCGGAGGCCACGGCTGCCATCTCGCCCCGGGAGGGGCAGCCCTGCTTCTGCAGCCAGCGCCACCCTCCAAGTCCAAGCAGCACCAGGAGGATGAGGAGGAGCAGGGCACCGCCAACCGCGGCTGGCACTGATGGGGGCACTGCCTTGTCCCCTGTGGGCCAGGGGGCATGTGACCTCAGGACTGCCCCAGCCCCCCCTCTCGGTCAGTCCCACATGTAGGGCCCAGAAGGAATGCCCAAGACAGCCTGTCCCCGTGGCCCCAGTGGGCTGGGTGTCACCCTGTCTACAGGAGGTGCTGGCCTCCCAGCACAAGGCCAAGGCTGGGGACCTGGCAGGCAGGCGGCTGCTGTCTGCAGGCCTGGGAGGTACTGTCCCAGGCTAGACACCCCTTACAAGGAGGGAGCCGCCAGAACGGCCCCGCTCCGGGCCCTCGGGGTGGGAATGCAGAAGGCAGAGGCCAGGGAGGGGGCTGCAGGGGGCCCGACGGTGCAGGCCCAGCCTTGCTAGCTCTTCTGGCCTCTTAGCAGGGCCAGTGGCAGCCACGTGGGCCACAAGCCAGAGCAGGGCCTGCTGCCTGGGCAGGGCTTACCGTGGCTGGGTGCAGGCAGCTGGCACTGCTGCCCAGCCAGATACTCAACGTCGTCCAGGGCAATGGGCCCCAGGGCTGGCTGGCCGCCCAGAGTGGCTTCAAACACAATCTGACCAGAGGGAAAAGAGGCTGTGTGGACTCGAGCAGGAAGGGGCCCCCACACCCCCTGAGGTCCCCTGGCCCTGGGTGGTCAGCCTCACCTGAAACTCCTCAGCGCTGGCCACCTCCACCTGGCCTTCTAGCCACTGGTGCCGTAGGTGCCCGCCCACACCCCACACGACCAGCTGGCCTCTGGCACTGCCCAGGAGCACCCTCAGCTCGCCCTTGTCTGAGGGCAGGGCCGGGGTGGGTCAGATCCCTGACCCAGTGCAGGGGAGCTCCTGGGCCCCTGGTTCCCCCACCACCCGGGTGCCACCAGCCCGGCCCAACTCACAGAAGTGCTCAGGGAAGCCCATGTGGTACCAGAAGCGGAGGCAGGACGCCTCAGTGGCAAGCAGAGGCTGGCTGCGCAGCCAGGCCACCTGGCCCCCTGGGCCCAGCACGCCCGTTTCAAAGAGAGCAAAGTGACCTGGAAATGAGAGAGGGTGGGGTGGGGTGTCAAGCTGACCTGGGGGAGCCTGCCCCAATGACCCCGACCGGTGGCCTCTGACCCAGATGGGAGCTTGGATGGGCCGGGCTCGTTGGCTCAGGTTGGGGTGGGGTGTGTGCCCCAGGTGTGTGTGGCTTGGGCCCCTTCCCCTACTCAGACACACCTGTCTCTGTGCCCAGGGTGTGGTCCACAGGAGGCTGGGAATAGCGGGAGGGTGTGGCTCCACTGCTCCAGTCCCAGCTGTACCCGCCTGGCCTGGGCCAGGGCAGCGGGCTCCAGCCACACAGGCCAGCCTCAAAGTCACAGGAAGCTGCAATGGGCCTGGGGTAAGTGGTGCTGCTGCACGCCTGGCCCACTGCTGCTCGGGGCAGTGGGCCTGGCCAGCTGTCTGAGCTCGGCACAGAGTGCATTGCACCCATGGGCCACAGCAGGTGCCAGGGCCAGGCCAGGGGCTCCCACCTGGCCGAGGGCAGGGCCCGTCCTGGAGGAGCAAGTCGTCCAGCGCGATGTAGGAGTGCTCCACGCCAGCGGCCACGGCCTCAAACACCACCTGGGCAGGGCAGGCATGGGCAGAGTAGCCTCGCCCGGTCTGGAGAGCCCTTGCCAGTGAGGGGGCCGCTCCCGGTGCTCACCCTCCAAGCCTGCTCAGCCTGCACATCCACGTTGCCCAGGCGCCACGCAAACCCTCCATGGGCTGTGATGCTGAGCACCTGCTGCCTGGCAGCCTCCTCCACGTGGACCCGCAGCGTACCTGCCATGCCGCTCTGGGTCAGCAGGAGTTGGGGGAGAGTGCCTCCTCAGGCCCCGTGGGGGCTCCCAGGCACAGGGGCCGGGGGGACCCTGCAGCTCTTCCTCCCACAGCCCCTCACCTGGATTGTGGATGCTCAGGTGGTACCAGAAGGTCAGGCAGGCAGGCTGGGCCAGGGGCCTGTGCTTCTCTGAGGTCAGGGAGGCCACGTGGCCACGGGGCAGGGCCTGTGGGCTTGTGTCCACCACCATGTAGTGCCCTGAGGGGTATCAGGGTTAGCCTCTGGCCCCGGCCCTGCCCCCCCTAGCCCCACCCAGCCTGTTGCCCTGGCCCTGCCGCCCCGACCCCACACCCTGAGCTGTCTCTGTGGTGTGGTCAGTGTGGGGACCCCAGGCGGCATGGCCTGTGGCGTTGGCCTGGCGCCTCCAGAGGCCCTGGGTCCCGCTGGAGAAGCCACAGGCCGAGTCCTCAAATGAGCAGTGGTCAGGGGCCCAGCAGGGTCCGGGCCGCACAGCCAGGTCGTCCAGCGCCATGCTGCCGTGGTAGCCGTTGCGGAGGCCCTCGAAGAGCAGCTGGGGGCAGATGGTGTCAGTGGGCTGGGGGCCTTGCCATGCCCCTCCCCACCTGGGAGCCGGGCTCACTTGGTACTTGGCGCCAGAGGCCAGCTGGTGGTGGAGGGTGGCCCAGGCCTGGTGCCAGTGGTTGCCCTGGGTGCCAGACCGTGACCACAGATGCTTCTCTGCCTCTCCTTCCTGTCTCATCACCAGGCGCAGTGTCCCTGGAGGGAAGATGGCATTGGAGGCCACCAGACCCCAGCTCCTGATGGCTTCTCATCCTCTCCAGAGCCCCTGAGGGGCTGAGACAGAACGCGGGGCCCCCAAGGGCCTCCGCCAAGGCCCTGCCCAGCTCCAGGGGTACTCACCGATCTGGGGCCCATAGAGGTGGTACCAGAAGGACAGACACTCCTGAGGGGCTGCTGGTGTCTGGGGCTGGGTGAGCAGGTGGGCGCCAGGGCCCCTGGCTGGGGGGTCCGTCGGGTCCAGCAGCATGTAGTAGCCTGCAGGGGAGGACACGGGCTGAGCCGCAGGGCACCAGGCTGCAGGAGGGGCTCAGCGCCGGGGAGACTGCCTCCGGGTCTAAGCCCCTTGAGGTCCCCTGGTCTGGGCCATGTCCTACCTTGGCCGGTGGTGTGGTCGTACCCTGGGCCACGGCTCTTGGCCCGGTGCCAGTGGGCATCTGTGAGGTGGCCGGTATGCCAGCCACATGTGTCCCTCTCAAAGTTACAGGAGACCTCTGGGGGGGGCCATGGTGGGGTCAGCACACCCTGCCCCTGCCCCTCCCCAGTGTTGAGAGGGTGGGGGAGACTTGTTTCCAGGAATGGGGGCTCCCAGGGGTTCCTTGGGTCTGGATGGGAGGCCCTGGGTGGGGTCTATAAGCAGGTGAGGAAGGACCTGCATCTTCCTTAGTGGACTCCGTGGGGCTGCAGTCCTTCAGGGTCACGTCGTCCACCCCGGCGCCTTGCTGGCCAGGCCTGTCCAAGTCCACCAGGCCGACAAACTCAAGCTTCATGGGGACACAAAGTGGGCTGTTAGGTCAGGGCCGGCTCGGTGCCTGTCCCCCAGGCCACCCTCCTTACCCGGAAAGGCCGGCAGCGTGCTCCAAGTAGGACGGTGTGCACCTTCCATCCCTCACTGCTGCTGCCCCCGGCCTGCCACACCAGCTCACGGCTGCTGCCCTCCACCACGACCAATGCCAGGAAGCCTGGCCGAAGGGTCCCCATAGGTCGGCCTGCCCACCCGCCTTCCCCCGTCAGGGCCAGCTGAGGGACCTCTCAGCGCCAGGGCTGGGCAGAGGGCTGGGGTGGGGGATGGCAGTACCTTGCGAGTGACTGTGAAAATAGTAAGCCATGTGGAGTTTGCAGTGGGGGCCGGAGGGGCCCAGGGCGGGTGTGAGGACCCGGGCCTCCGCGGTCAGCTGCCCCCAGGCCCTCTGCAGGGACAGGAAGTGCCCTGGGACACAGCAGGGTTACTCAGAGCTGATTTCTACCAGAGACCCTCCGAAGTGAGGAGAGCCGGGGCAGGGCCCTCTAGGGATGCCGTCCCCGGCAGTCTCCTGGGTGCCTCACCAGTAACAGCCCCACGGGCATCTGTTCCAAGGCCCCTGCCTTCCTGGGCTGGGAGACGCCCCCACTGCAGCTGCCCCACGCTGGCATCCTCCCAGCCCCCAGCCTCGGGGGACTCAAAGTCTGTGGTGCCTGCAACAGTGGCCGGAACTGAATGGCCCCGGAGCCGCTGCCTGGCCCCTGCGGTGGGGAGAGCCTGGAGGAAGGGGGCCCCCCCGACCTCTGTCTGCCCCTTACCACACTCCTGCTCATCCTCACCCCCCCCACACTGCTGCTGGAAGTCACACAGCTGCTCTGGGGGGACACACAGGTCCCCGCAGGAGAGATGTCCTGGCTCACAGAAGTCCTGGGGCTGCAGGCCAGGCGGCTGAGGCCCGGGCGCTGGGGCCAAGAGCCCGGGAGCTGGGCTGGACACCTCTGTGGGTGCAGAAAAGGGTCAGGCTGGCAGGGGCTGGGCTTCTCTGGGAGGGAGGGGGCTCAGCAGGCTCACCGGGCACTGGCTTGCAGTGGTCTGACAGGATGAGGTCGTCCAGGCCCACGACACCCCCTGGGCCCGTCTGCCCAGCCAGGAGGATCTGAGGGCACCAGGGGCTCAGGAGGTGCCCCAGCACCCTACTGTTATCCCCAGGTCTGATTCCCTGAACCCTCTCCCTGTCAACCCACAGCTCATACTTCACAGATCAATGGACACCCCTGCCCGCCATAACCCCAGCCCTTCAGGAGGGGCTGTGGCCCCTGCCCAGCTCTCTGAGTGGCCCCAGATCTCCCTGTCTCTCCCTACCACTGGCCTCACCTGGAAGGGGTGCTCACTCCGGATGTCAACCCGGTCTCGGACCCAGGCGGCCCCCAGCTCCCCGTGGCGCCTGCGCAGCAGGATGGGGACCTGGGGGGCACTGGGGCCATGCGTCTGCAGGAACAGCTGGAGGCAGCCATCCTCAGACCCGTGCAGGTAGTGGTAGAAGGTGAGCTGGAAGGGACAGAGAACGGTCAGGGAGACCCCTGGGGCTGCGCAGTCTGGATGGGCAGCCCTGTATACCCCACCTGCTCACCGAGCAGTTGTGGGAGCCCGAGGCTTGGAACTCAGGGCTGGAGAGGATGGCTGGGGCACTGGGCTCAGCCACAGAGACCAGGAAGGAGCCTGGGGAGAGAGCAGGTGTGGTCCGGGGTGGCAGGCCCAGCACTGTGTCCGGGGAGGTGGCCAGGGGTCCCCGGCGGGCCTCACCCCGTGCACTGTTCCGGCTGTGATCACGCCGTGGCCAGGTGGGGCACCCAGGGCCTCCGGTACTGCGGTTCCGGGCCCAGCCCTCTGAATGGCTCCATGGGCCCAGTCCCGTCTCAAAGTCGGTGGCCATGTGGTGGCCTAGGGCGGGTAGCGGGCTCAGGCCACAGAGCCAGGCCTGCTGCCAGCCCTGGTCGCCCTCCATCCTGAGGGTGCCAGGCAGGCCACCACCCCTCCGTGCCCCCTCGGTGGCCCCGCAGCCCTGCCCACTCACTGCAGGCGGGGGGGCTCTCATCGGAGCTGTCCCCGCAGTTGTCCTCGCCGTCACAGAGCTGGTGGGGCTCCACGCAGGCCCCGTTCTGGCAGTGGTGGTGCCCCAGGGCACAGTGGGCCTGGGGGGCTGGTGGGGAGGGTTAGCCATGGCCTCCAGGACCCCAGGGGGGGTGTGCTGGGGGAGAGGGTCTTGCTAACCCACTGCCCCCGTGTGGGCCCATGGCATGGGGGCCTTACTGGGCAGCCCACAGCCCCAGAAGACCACGTCGTCCAAGGCCACAGCGCCCCTGTGTGTGGCATTTCGGGTGGCAAAGAAGGTCATCTGAAGAAAGTAGGGTCCTTAGGACCTAGGTCAGGGCTCAGACCTCCCAGCTGCCCCCACCCCCCAGACCGCCCCTGCCCCCCACCCCACTCACCCGGAAGTCACCCTGGATTCGGCCAGTGGCCACCACCAGCTCCTGCCAGCCTGGGCCCCAGGGCCCTGAGCTTTGCCACAGGGTCAGCGTCTCGGCACCGTGGGTCAGCTCCAGCCGCAGCTCAGCTGCATCTGCTTTGGGGGCCCTGGGGCAGCTCAAGCCCCTGCTGCCTCCCACAGCCTGCTGGCTGTGAGCTGCCCTGGGACCCCAGCCCCTCCTCTGGGGTGCCTCCCAGCCTCTGCTGTAGCCCCCTTGCTTCCCCAGTCCCTCCCCTCAGGGCACCCCCCACCCCACCTGGGGCACAGGGTCCTGGGCATGCACCTCCAGAGGCTGCATAGTGCCAGAGCCTCAGCTGGCAGGTCGGGGCTGCCTCGCGCAGGACAGGGGAGCGCAGGGCTGCAGTGGCCACCTCCTTCCCACGGTGGGTGCCAACAGCCACATACCAACCTGGCCGGACCGAGATGTCAGGAGATGGGCAGGAAGCTAAGAGGGTTGGGGGTGGCACGGAGCCTCACCCAGGTCTCACCCAGATCAGTGCCTAGCGTGTGATCCGAGTGTGGCCCAGGACTCTCCCGTTCAGCCCCTGCCCGGCCTCGGAGCCAGCTGTAGCCTGAGGTGCTGATGTCCCTCCAACCGCAGGAGTCCTGCTCGAAGTCGCAGGCGAAGGGGGTGTCTAGGGCAGGCAGGGCCCCATGGTAACCTGGGGAGCAGGTGGCCAGGTGAACCACCTGCAGAGCTGGCCTGGCCCCCCTCCCAGCTGGCCCACTCACCACACTGGGCCTCGTCAGAGCAGTCCCGACAGTCACACACGAAGTTGCACACAGCCTCAATGGGAGGCCTGCAGTGGTTGGGGACCCAGGCCCAGCCTGGGGGCCCTGCTGCCAGCAGAGAGACAACCAGGTGACCTGGGGCAGGGTGACCCCTCATCTTGGCTTGCCTGGGACAATCTCATATCCCAGAAACTCCTCAGACCTGGAGAAGCCTCAGGTGTTGGTCACCCTGCTTTGGAGCCTGGTCAGGAGATTGTGCGGGGAGGGGGCTGGGCCATAGCTGGGGGCCTGGGACCCACAGAGGACTGCCACCCAGGGGCTCATTGTTAGGGCCAAGCAGAGCACATCTGATCCCAGAGAGGCTGGCTGCATGTCAGGATGAGGGGATGTGGGCATGCATGCCATCAAGGGCTCCCAATGTGAGACACCCCCTGGCTAAGGAGGTGCAGGTGCCCAAAAAGGCAGCAAAGAGCCTGCCAGGAGGGTGCCCCTCTGCCAAAGGAATTAATTAGTGGCCTAGGTTCCCTCAGTTCCATCTAGTCCAAGAGCAGCAGACCAGGATGGGCTTCCAGGTCCTCTCGCTTTGGGGTCTGGGTGGCGGAGATTGGGGCCAGGCAAGCAGAACCCTGCCCCTTCACGACAGGGTTATCCCCAGGACCCCAAGGGTTTGCCCTGGATGCCCCTGTGGCTGGCTGTCCCGGGCCTTGCACCCCCTCCTTCCCAGCTGGCCCTGCTTCAGAAGCCAGACCTGATGACTCACCCAGGAGCAGAACCCCAACAGGCAGGAGGTGGCCACACAGACGCATGGTCAAGCCAGTGGGGGCAAGGTGAGGGGCAGTGTGTGCTGGGCAGCCTGGTGGGGATTCGGTCCAGTTACCAGTCTGTGGCCCCACAGGCTGGCTCTGCTAACTGGAGAGAGGAGCTGGGCCCCTCCCCATGCTGACGAGGACAAACATCTGCCAGTAAAGGCGTTCAGGAGAGGGGCCCCTGGCCGGGGAGGGTCCCACCTGCCGGTCTCCATCAGACCAAAGGTCAGGCCCCTGCAGTCGTGCCCACCCCACCCACAGCCCTGCCTGGTGGAGGCCCCCGTGGAGGCAGTTCATGGGGCACAGGGCACAGCCCTTCTGCTGGGGCCCCAGCCCCTACCCTGCTGTGAGGTTGACTCAGCCTAGCCCCAGGCTGCAGGCAGGAGCCCGGTGTGCAATCCCTGGCTGCTCTACAACCAGGAACTCAGCCCCCTCCCTGCCGTAGCCTGTGGGTTGCTGCTCACCTACTTGCTTAGATGCTGCTCACTTGCTTGGCACTGTTCAGAGCAGTGTGGGCCAGGCAGGTTCTTGCGGCACAGGCCTCTCTGCGGAGGGCTTAGAGCCAGGCCCTGCTGCGTGACGTACCACTGCTGGCCCTGGACACTTTCCCCCCAGCTCGTTTCCTCATCTGTAAGTCATGGTGGAGACGCTGCCATGAGGCCCCAGGGAGCTCAGACAAGGCACCCACCCTGCATCGCAGCACGGCAAGGGGCCAGTGAGCTTACAGGGCTGGCCGGGCCTCTGCTGTGCCTGGCCCTGCCCTCCCTGAACTGGGAGGAGGGTCCTGGCAGAGAGGCTCTCAGCTCCAAGTCTGAAGTCCTGCCTGTCCACTTTGAACAGGAGTCCATGGCTGTGGGCAGGGGCCTTGGGCCTCTTCATGAGTGACCTCAGCTGGCAGGCCACTAGGGACACTGAGGTTGGTCAGGATGGTGGATATGGGCGCTCTGCCTGCCCTGCACACTTGAATGGGCACCCCGGCTCAGCTGGCCCAGTGGTACCAGGCACTAACCCCTTGCACAAGGGCTCCTCAGCCTCCTCCCACATGTCCTTGGGCACAGCAGCCACGTGGAAGAGCAATCCAGCCATAAATGGGGGCAGCAGCCCAGGGGCCCCCTTATCACTCCCCAAAGGGCTGAGTGTGCACTGCCACTCCCTGGGGCCCCCAGAGGCACAGCTGGCTGAGGGGCCTGCTGCCCCCAGGGCCACGTCCAGCAACCTGCCATCCATTCATCCAGCCAAGGGTCCAGAGGGGTGACTCGGAACAGAGAGGCCAAGACACACAGTACCAGGGAACTCGCTGGGGTGACAATGCTTTTAATTCCTGTGGGTGAGGTACACACGGGGCATAGGGGCTGGGCTGGTGTCCATCTCTGAGGCCTGGCCAGGGGGCACAGTGCCAGGGGGTGCAGCCCAGCCCCTCAGAAGGAGCCTGGAGGGCAGAGTTTCGAGCTGGCTGCTGGAGGCAGCAGGTCTGAGTAGGCCTCAGTAGCCATCATCAGCCCAGGTGACCTCGTAGTCAGGGTACCTGGCTTTGATCTTCTCAGTGGAGATGTTGTGCTGGGCACGACCATAGCCCTGAAGAGAGAAGGCAGCTTCTGCAACCGGTCTTGGCACTGCCGGTCCGGTTGGCAGCACCCAGGAACCACTGGGGAGGGCGTCAGGTGGAGCCACACACCTTCACCCCCTACTACACCAGGGAAAGGTGGCTGCCAAGACGAGCAGACCCTAAGGGAGGGCCTGGGCTCTTGTAGGTGACAAGATAGGCCGGGTGAGCACCCCTGTGCCTACTGGTGGCTTGGAAAAGGACGAGGGAGGGGTCCCTGAGCGTCCCCCCAGTACTGCCTCTGAGGGCTGGGCCAGAGCAACAGAACAGCAGGCCTCTTGGCGCACAGAAGGCGGCCCACCGGCTGAAGGGCAGTCGGCGACACCCCCTCCTGCCCGGTGCTTCCTGCCCCACGCTGCGCGGGGGAACAGGGAAGCACGGCTGCGCGCTCACCATGGAGTAGCCGTACACGTGGATCTTCTTGTCCCGGCTCTGGTGGGAGATGCGCCCGCCGCCCAGGCACTCACAGTCCAAGCCCTTCTTCTGCATCTCGCTGGACACCTTGTCATAGATGTCCGCTGGGGCGGGAGGGGCGGCTCAGGGCGGGGTGGCCAAGGAGGCAGGGGGCGGGGGCCCTGAAGCCCCAGGTCCACGCAGCTGCTTCCCCGGAATGGGAGGCAAGGGCGCTGGGCCTCGGGCAGGGTCGGGCCATGTTCACCCCTTGACCTCCAGAACCCCCAACTCTTCCGCGGCCGGCCCACGACGCGACCGGGGCAGGACTACTTCCCACTAACCCCGCCCCCGGATGCAGGCGGCCCCGCCCTCACCGTGGTATTCCGCCCACTTGTAACCGCGCACGACCTCCTTGCTCTCCCCGGCCGGGGCTCCGGAGGGTGGCGCCGCGTGGACTCGAATCAGCACATACTTGAAGACGCCGTCGGAGTCGATGTCCACCTCAGGGATGTGGGCGAGGTCGCCCGCCGCCATGTTCCTGGAGCGCGCCCGCCCGCCTTTCCCACCGGCGACCCCGCGCTGCGTCCTCCGTGCGGGAGGCGGGCTCTGGGACCCCGTGACCAATCCCTCGGGAGCATGCTGCCCCGGCCCGCAGCCTCAGCCAATCGTTCCGCCGACCAGATACACAGGCTAGCCAATTGCAACCCATCTCCTTGGAGCTCTGCGACCACGCCAGGCCCACTTAAAGGGGAACGTGAGTGGGTAGTGAATAAATCCAGCCCACGGAGAACTTTTACGGTCGCGAAGGCGGAGTGTCGGCGGCGCGGGTGGCAGGCCCCTTTGGGAGGGGGGCGGTCCGTGTGCTGGCTCTGACTGCCCCACACCCGGTCGGGGCGTTGCCCCCGGCACCCAGAGCCTGGTCTGAAGGCTTCCGCCCACCTCGTTCTCCCCAGCCCCCTCCGAGGGTCTCCCCTCGCACCCTCAGCCTGGTCGGGTGGCCCCCCGACCCCCGTTCTCCCCCAGCCTGGTCGGAGGGCCTCCCCCGGCGCCTCCAGCCTGGTCTGACATTCTTCCTTCCCGTTTCCACTCTCCGCACAATGAGACAGCAGTAGCTACATTCGAGTTGTTTTACTTGGTTCGAAAGCGCTCGCCCTCTGGAAATACTTCTGGTTGTTCCCGGGTGGCTGGATGTCAGGCGTGGGCCCCAAGGCGGAGGCCCAGGGGCCGCGGGACGGCAGCCGACTTGGAGGCAGCGAAGGCAGGTGGAGCTAGCGGGGCGCTTGGCCGGTGCGAACGCGCAGGCGTGGATGGAGGGCGGGGCGGGGAGGAATGGGGCAGGTGAGTGGGGTGCACGGTCTCGGGCGAGAGCCGGGAACGGAGGCGGAGAACGTTCATAATTTAATTCACCTGCTGCCCCCTCTCTCCCCGATGGGGGCCGGGAGCTCCAGGAGGGCCCTTTCGAGGTCTGGCCTTGCCTCCTCTAATGATCGCTCACCCTCGGTGGAGCGAGGGCCAGGGCCGCGGTGCACCCCGGTGGAGGGTGGGGAGCGGAGGCCGAGGGCCGCCAGCCCCGCCGCTCCAGCCCACAGCACTGGCTCCGGGTGACTCCCCCCCGCCCCGCCCTGGCCAGCTACCTGCTCCAGAGCCGCATCCCCCTCTCAACTGGAAAGGCCCCTCCCGGACGGCCTCTGCCGCCCCTCCTGCTTATCCATCCTCCTCGCCTGCTTCCTACCCCCTGCGAGGTGAGGGCCGGCGCTGCCGTTTGACCGTTGCTCTGCCCTGGAGCCTGTCCAGAGTCATCCTGTCGGGCATGGGCACGCAGCCCGGCTGACGCCCAGCCAGGTCTCGGCTCTGGGCCGGCGCCCAGCCAGCGCCCTCAGCCACACCCTGTGCTTCCCTGACCCAGGCCACCTTCCCTCTAGCTGAGTGCCTCGCGCCTTAGGTGAAAACCGCCGAGCACCCCTCCACTCTGCTTAACCCGCGCCCTCCTGCAGGGCCTGCAGAAGGGCACTGCGTAGGGCAGGACGTGGTCAAGACACAGACACAGAGGCCAACAAGAGTGTCCTCCAGAGATGAACTCCTCTGAGCAGGACGCACCCCAGACCACAGGAAGCGGGTGGGGGGCGTGTTTAAAGGGATGGGACTAGGATGTGATGGATCTGGGCTCCTGAATCACGGTGAACCAAGGTTGGGGAGGTTTCTGGGCGGCCCTGGACAAGGAACGGAAAGCGAATCTGTGCGGTGGGGTCTGCAGTAGTGACCCCTCCACGTGAAGGCAGGCCCGGGCGGTCCTCAGGCCCACCCCACCTCCCAGCGGGGAGCACCAAGCGGCTGAGGACCGGCCTCTGCGGAGGCGCGAGGGCGATTTTCGGGAGAAGCAGGGCGGGACCGGTTGAGGGGTTGTGGATGGGGCGGAGGGAAAGGCGGAGCTTGTGGGGACCGCAATGGGGCGGTACCTGGGGCAGAACTTGCTGTGAATAGGGACCGGAGATTGGAGGCGGGGCTTAGGAGAACTGGGGGCAACCCTGGGTGGGCGGGGCGGGGCCTGAATGGACAGGGCAGAGCGGGCTGGGAGGGGTCCTGGGCGGGGCACGGGGGCGGCCCTGAGTAGACTGGGCGGGGCCTGAGTGGGCTGGCGCGGTTTGAGGGTGGGCCCTAGGTGGACTGGGCGGGGCACGGGCGTGACCCGCGGCTTACATGATGTCGTCCAGCAGATTGGCACTGGCCACCCAGTCGAGCGCGCGCGGCTCGGAGGCTGCCATGATCATGCACATGAAGGGGCGGCCGGTGCGCCGGTCGGTGGGGTAGATAGTGGTGGGCGTGAAACGCCGGTTGGCCTCGACGAACTCGCAGAGCTGCTCATAGACGCGCGGGAACTCGTGGCGCAGGAAGACGCCGCGCAGCCGCAGCTCACGCTGAATGTGGATGAAGGCCACCTCGCGCGCGCGCCGTCCCGCCTCGCCATCCTGGTCCAGGCCCGCGGTGCCTGGCGGCGGCGTCAGAATTAACGTCTCCATGTCGGGCTCGCGGCCCCGCGCCGGGGGCGGTCGCGCGGGACTACCGGCCGCTAGTGCCACCTTGGCGAACTTGCGCACCGTGGGCCCGGCGCTGCGCGGCGCGGGCGCGGGCCGGGTGGGGGCGCCGGGGGGCGCGGCGCTGGGGCCTACGGCCACCGATACGCTCAGCAAGAAGCACTCGTTCGGCTCATAGAGGCGCCCCGCAGCCGCCAGCTCGCGAGCGTAGCTGCCCAGGGGTGCCGCGTGAGTGGCCAGCTCTCGCAGCGACAGGTAGGTGGGCGACAGCAGCAGCCCCTCAAGGCCGAAGCGCAGGAAGTTGTCTGCGGAGCCGGGGCTTGGGAAGCCCAGGAAGAGCACGCCGCGGCCGCGTGACAGGAACCCGACGCGCGCGATGCGCGAGAAGGCGCGGTGCACCGGGTCGCTATCACGGCAGAACTGCAGCACGTGGCGGCACACGCTGCCCACGCGGCCGTACACGCAGCGCGCCTTGTGTGCGTCCCAGTCCTCTCGGCGGCACAGGCGCGAGCAGTAGTAGGTGTAGCAGCTGTGGCAAGACTTAAAGTAGAGGCAGGCGTTGAACATGGTCTCCGTGCGCCGGCAGCGCGCGTTGGAGCAAGTCATCAGGTCGTCCTCGTCGGCGCTGGGCTCCGGGGACGCGTCGGCCGCCTGCCCGGGGATCGCAGGCTCTTCTGCACTGCCGGCGGACGCGGGCGGCGAGCGCGGCGCTAACGCGGGCGCCCCGGGGCCTGCGGGCCTTGAGTCCAGCATGCGGCGCAGCTGGCGGCCCAGGCCCTCGGCCGCGGGCTCGGGAACTTGGCCGGCCGGGGGCCGGGAGTCGATGACCAGGTCTGTGATGAGCTCGTCCAGCTGCTCAAGGCTGCGCTGGCGGCCAGCGACGGGGCCGTCGGGGACGGCTGGGGGAGGCGGCCTCGGGCGGCCCCCGGGCAGCTCCCAGGCCCTAGAGGTCGGGCGCTCGGCCGCGCGCAGGTCGTTGTCGGTAATGGTGATCTCGGGCGTGACGTACCAGTTGCGGCCGGGGCCCTCGCCTGCGCGGCCCTTCTCGGAAAGCGACGTCTCAGACAGCGACAGCGCCGCGTAGCGCCTGGGCGAGGTGGACAGGTTTACAACGACAGGAGGGCGCCTTCCTTCGGGGGATGCACCCCGAGGCTCTCTACCCAGCAGGTTCTCGTAGCTGCGGCCGCGGCCCAGGGGGTCCTCCCGGCGCGGCCCGGGCGCCAGGATGTTGTCCCAGGAGCGTGAGTAATGGCGGCTGTCGGTGGCCAGTCGGGGCGGGCTGGTGGCGGTGCCGCCGTGCCACGAAGCAAGCAACTGGCGGGGGTCTGGCGGAGGCGCCACCTGCAGGGTGCGGTAAGGCCGCGGGGCCCAGTCTCCCCAGGCCGGGCTGCCGCGTGGGTGTGGGTAAGTCCGCGCCAGGGCGTCGCGATCATGGTACCGGCCGAAATCCTCTGTGTAAAAGGAGTGGGCAGCGGGGTGGGCCCGGGACCCCTCGGGGGCATAGCGGGGGCCGCAGGGCGGCCCGTAGGCTCGGGGGGCCTCCCCGTAGTAGAAACGGGAGGGCGGCTCCTGGACCGGGAAGGTGCGCACTTCCCCAGCATAGAAGCCCCCCGCGCGCCTTGGGCTGGGCCCCGGGAGCCCCTCAGACAGGAAGGGCCTGGCGTAGTAGCTGTCGAAGGGAGGCCTAGGGCTGGTTGTAAAACCGCCGGGGTGGCCCTCGGGCTCTTCGGTGTAGAAGAATTGCGTGGGGCCTGGTGGAGTGGTGAAAGGCAGGCTTCGGCGCTCCGTGTAGTCCCGGGGCCCTGTGAGGGGCCCGTCGCAGTACAGCACCCGGGGATCCACGCAGTAGGAGTCACTGGGGGTGGGGGTGCGCGACAGTGCCACGCGGCGAGGCCCGGGCACCGTGAGGCCGTGGAGTTGCGGGGCCGCGCGGGCCCAGGACGCAGTCTCGGCGGGCCCGCAGGGCCTTGAGCCCCTGGCGGCGTGCTGCAGCACCGCGTCGTCAGGCTTGATGTCCAGGCGGCAGCGGACGTGGGGAGCGGGCCCAGCAGGCGTCTCAGGCGGCGCACAGCGGCCGGAGGCGGCGCACAGCGGCGCGATGCGTCCGGGGCCGCTCCGCTGCGGCTGCAGTTTGATGGGGTGTAGCTCATTGGCGAGCGCGCGCAGCGCGGGGTATGTGGGCTCTCTGCGCGGTGATGCCTCTGCCCGCGCTGCCCGCTGGGCCTCCCTGCCTCGGCGCGGCAGCACCGGCGACGAGGCGGGCGCGGGCACCAGACCCGGGGGCGCGCGGGGGGCGCTCTTGGAGCGGGCGCGGCGCCGGGGCTCGCCGTCGCGGGGCCGGGCGCGCGGCACGGCAGGTTCCGGGGGCGGCAGCTGCGGGTGCGCCTCCATGGCTGCCCCGTCCAGCGCCTCCAGGAAATCGAAGCTGCGGCAGTGGCGCTTATTGAAAGGCGTGGGGGCAGCAGGCCGGGCCACGGAGCGCTCACATGGTGGGCGCCTCGACTCGGGCCCCGGGGCCGCCACCTTGATATCCTGGTACACGGTTGACACCAGCAGGTCCGGCGGGTCTGTGCGGGTCATCTTAAAAGTAGTCCCCAGGCTGGCGGCTGCAGCTCACTCGGCTTTGGGGGGCTTTTGCCCTGGGGGGAGATGGGAGTCAGGGCGGCCCCCCTGCACCCAGGCCCTGTTCCCCCCAACCCCTCCCCCCGCGCTGGCCCGGCTTACCTGGTGTGCAGCGGGCGGAGCAGCCCTGGCTGCGGGCCTGGGCTGAGGCCATAGGCACTTGTTCCATGCCGGCGTCAGAGCACCTGTAAGAAGAACCCAGCTGTCCGGGAACCCAGGCCCGTCTCCCCGACCCAGACCATTATTTCTGGGCTACTTTCTGCTGTGATGGGGTGGGTCAGCCAGAAAGGCGGTGCCATTGCTGTGGTTCCTGAGCTCCTGCATTCAGGCCAGTGTTCTTGGGCCTCCCCCGACTCCATTGTTGACTCCTGGGACAGGCCAGCCTTGGGGTAGGAAGAGTGGGGGTGTGGTCACAAGGCTCATCCACCTCCCCGCCCACAGTTGGAATGACCTTGTGTTTTACAGATTTCTTTATAAAAGTTGGTTCCACAAACAGGTCTGTGGCTGAAACACCCACCCTGCCCAGTGCCATCTGATGGTGCAAAATGAGGGTGAGTCCTGGACCCGAGCCCTAACTAGCTGGGCAGAGTCACTGAGCCCCCGCCCCGCTTGCTGACCAGGCTGCGCATGAGACCCCTTCCCCCAGCAATGCAAGGGCCAGTGCACCGGGGACAGCCTGCTGCTCCAAGCTCTCGTCCAGAACAGTGGCCTTGTTAGATCCAGTGTGGCCCCTAGGGCAATGGACTCCGTGGCCCATGTCAGAACAGTGGCCCCAAAGGACGCTTCTGGGCTCTGATGTTCCCTTTCCTTAACAGAAACCTCCTCTGCCCCCCGCTCCCACCCCCCACCTTGGGGTGGTTGAAATCCACCAAACTCATTGGGATCCTCTCGTGACTGAGGCCCAGAGGGCCGCCTCCTCTCCCCCTTTGCAGTGTGTGTACCTCTGCCGGGAAACCTGGCCTCGTCTGCTGGACCATGTGGGGACCTGTGAGCCACGAGCTCATGGCTGCCCCTCTTCCCCTAAGCAGCACCCCAGAGCTGGAGGCCAGTGGGGAGGCAGGGCAGTGGGCGGGTAAGTCCTCCCTATCAGGCGGAGCTCCAGATGGCTGCATGGAAACCTGAGGTTCTTCGGCCCCCATGCCAAGGGTTGGGCTGGGGTGTATCCCTCCACACCAGGCTCACATTCAGACTTGGGTCACAGCTCCTGTGGTGCCAGGGCCTGGACGGGCTGGGGATGGGCTCTGGTGGTGCTGATAGGCCCCCACCTCCTCACCCAGTCTGAGGGAGTGTTCTCCAGGGTGAGCTGGGGAAAGTGGGGGGCTGGGCCCCAGTGAGCAGGACCTATGGTCAGGTCGCCTGGGACCTCTGTGTCCCAGTGTGCAAGGGGCTTCCTGCTAGCAGAGCTGCTCTTCTGGGTCAGGTCGCAGCCTCAATTCCACCCCAACTCTCTCTCTGGTTTGCAAGACCATCCCCCTCCCACCTCCTTCCATCAGCTCAAAGCCAGGCCGGAACTGGGGGCTGGATGACAGGGCATGAGGCTCCGCCCCAGGGAGGTGACAGCCTGGCCTTGTCGCCGCAGCGGTGAGCTGGACCAGGTGCTGCCCCTCCCCGTGGGAATGTGGGGTGGTCGTCCCCACTGGGGTCCTAGGCCTAATGAGCCCTGCAGGCGGCCCTCACCTCTGCGGAGCCCTACCCCCGGAATGATCGCCTTGAATGTGGACCAGCTTGTGTCGCCCGGGGGCTGGATCCCCATCCCCATCCTTACAGCGCCCCAGCCACGACAGGGAGTGCGGGACAGCGGTCTCGGACCCCTTACCTGGGTGCTGCTCCCCGGCTGCGCGCGCCCGGTGGGCTGCGCAGGCCCGTGCCCGATCTGCCGTCCCCGCATCGCCGCGTCCCCGGCACCGGCAGAAGCTTCGAGGCAGTGGCGCTGAGGCTGCCCGGCTGCTCAGTGCTGCCCCCGACGGCGATCGGTGGGGCTACACTTAAAGGGACCGCACTGTGGTCCTGGAACACGCGCGGCCCGCTGTTTCCACGTTGGGGATATGCTGGGTACTGGGTGATGGGCTCTCTGGCATCCCCAGAGGGCAGGCCTGAACTCCAACTAGGAGACCCGTGCCCAGGGAGCAACCTGCTGGTCGTGCCAGCCCCCACTCCTGGACACCTGCCTGAGGTCAGCTGGCCGCCTAGCAGGGTTTTGGAGCAGGGCCCTGGAGGAGCCCCAAGCTGTGGTGAGGGCTGCAGACAGCTCAGGAATTCACGCCCGGGCAGGACCAGATGGGCTGTGCTCCCTGCCCCACTGGCCTCTGCGCTACAGTGCTGGAGGTGCCAAGCTCTCCACGGGTGGCCGAGTTCAGAGGGGTTTATCTGCGTGGCCTCTCCCAAGTGAAGGCACCCCTGCACCACGTCCACTGCCAGCCTGCACTAGGCCCGCTCCAACAGCACGGGGACATCTCCCCTCCAGCCCGGCCAACCTCCTAAACCTGGTGCTGAGGCAGGGTCACAGTGCTCTTCACTCCAAAGCATGGGACCTGCGCCCCCTTAGGTGTCTTGCTAGACACCAAACTCTGGACAAACTCCCTTTGTGTCAGCCTGGTCCCCCCATCAGTGGGCTCCACAAGCGTTGCAGACTACAAGGAGCACCTAGTGTCAGCTCGGTGTCTGCCCCCAGCCCCTGCCAAGGTGACTACTGCCTCTAGGCAGTGTACAGCTGTCTGAGCACAGAAATTGGGGAAGGGTAGGGCTGGCCACCACCTCCACTCTGCCCATGCACAGCCTGCCTGCCCCAGAGCGGCAGTTAGTAGGGCAACTGTGGGATGGTGGGTGGGGTGGGGCCTGAGAAGAGATACAGGACTGCAGGCAAGTGTCCTGAGAGCAGGGAGCTAGCTGGGAAAGGATGGGGCCTGCCAGCAGCCAGCAGAACACAGATGGGCACCTGCCCTCAGCAGGCCAGGGCCCCCACGTGTTTCTCGGGGCAGCTGTACGGGCGGGCCTGCTGGGAAGTGCGCTGTGCACCCCAGGGCTAAGTGTTGCAAGGCCTCCTACCCTGGGGGGAAGCCATCCCTCTCAGAAAAGGGTTCTTTGGCCATGAGACAGAGAACTCGCCTTCCAACCAACCACAGCAAAGGGGGCCGCCCTGGGGGCCGAGCGCAGGAGCAGACACAGACACGCAGTGAAACAGGAGAGCTTTATGGTCGCGGGGGTGTCTAGAGTGAAGGGAAGGGGTCAAGGTCTGGGGACCTCCAGGTCCTGGCTGGCCGCGGCCGGAGCGCAGCAGCAGGAGCGGAGCCCCGTGCCCGGGGCGAGCTCTGGCGCTGCCTAGCGTCTGCACACCCGGGCCCAGGGGCTGCGCCGCGAGGGGAAGCGAGTGCGGCTGCCCGGCAAGCAGGAGCCGGCGGTGACGAAGCTGGCGCTCGCTCCGGTAGGCGGCCTCGCGGCCTCGGCCCATCCCTGAGAAGCGCTGGGGCGGCTGCCCGCCGCCGCCCCTCCGGCGGGCGCCCTAGAGCTCCTCGTAGTCCCCGCCCCCGCCGAGGTGGCCGCCCGGGGCCCCGCCCCCCAGGAAGGCCTCCAGCCCGGCGGCCGCCGTCCTGCCCGCGCGGGGCCGCCGGCGGTGCTGCTCGTCCCGGCCGCGGCCCTCGTCCCGGGCCCGGCTCCTCTTATGCTTGCTCCTCTTCTTCGCGGCCTTCACCTCCTCCTGGGGCGGGGGGCGCAGCGCAGTCACGTGGCCGCCCGGAACCCACCGCGGGCCCCGATCCCCTTCCCCGCCCCGGCGGCGGCCTCGTACCTCTCTGCCCTTCTTCTTCTTCTTCTCCTTCGAGGCAGGCTTGCCCTCCAGACCTGCGCCGACGGGGAAGCAAAGTCAGCTCGCGCAGCTCCGACTTGGGGGGGTGTGGGGGCTGCGGGCGGAGGCTGCCCAGCTGCCCAGCCATGCAGCACCTCAGCCTCCTGCCCCATGTGGGCCCCTGGCCCTGGCAGCAAAGGCAACAGGTGGGTGGGGGTCGACACACTTTCAAACCCTGGCCAAGCCTGGGAGAAACCGTGGGATACGCTGGGTGGCACTGCTGGTCAGGGCAGAGCTGGTGCGAGCAGCCCAGGGTGGAAGTGGGGACAGAAGCCTGCAGAGGGTCAAGCTGGAGCAGATCGGCCAGCACGGCAAAAGCCTCCCAGTGGGGACACAAGGTGAGAGGTCCCTGCAGCCACCCCTGGCCTTGGCTGTCCACGCGCTGCCCGGCCCCAGCTACCTGCATTGCAGCTCTCCTGGCGGCCTGTCTCCTCCAGCCCCAGACCAAAGAGATCCTCACCCTTCACTCTGAAGGAGGTAATGGGGGGCTTGGCGAGTGGGGGTGGCCGGGCAGGGCTGGCGTCCTCATCTGTGTCATCTGAGAGGTCTTCTCGTACTGGGAACTCCTCCTGGAGGAGCAGCAGGCATGCTGTGCCATCAGCATCCAGGGGCCCCCATTGTGCCCCTAGACAGGCTCCTGCTCACCTCCGGCAGGTGACAAGCCCCCTCACGGGCAACCAGCACCGCACAAGTGTGCTGCAGTTCTTCCACTGCGCTGTCACTGGAGTGGGCCCCAGCCCCTCCCAGGGGCCACGAGGGCTGAGCTCAGCCCGCTCACAGTGCGGACTGCCCGGCACCTTCTGGAGCTGTCCCCACCTTCCCGCCGCTCCCTGCCCAGGACACATCCCGAGACCTCAAGGCGGGGTGGGCACCCCGCCGCCTCACCGCTCTCCGCTGAGTGTCTGAGTCGCTCTCAAAGTCAGGGTCGTCCATGACGAAGGAGAGCATCTGGGTGGCGATGGGCCCCTCGGGGTCACTCTCTGAGGATGCTGCCTGCTTGTCTTTCCGGTCCTCATGCCCATAGGGGGAGCCCTCGGCCCTGGAACCTGTGCCCCTGTGCGGCCTCGAGGCCTTCGTGGAGGACCTTCAGGACAAGGAGGAGGTCAGGGGGTCTGTGGCCTCCCTCGCCCAGGGCCCCTTCCACCCAGATTCCCCACATACCATTTGGTCTCTGGCTCAGCACACTTCTGGGGGGCCAGGACAGTGACCCTGGGGTTCCCTGTCACCTCATCTGCTTCCTCCCCACTGAAAAGAGTGGTTTCCCTTGGGACAAGGCCTGTCGGCAGCAGAAACCTGCTGGGTGGCTCATCTTCCAGGTCCACGTCCTCCTGGACACCTGCCACCATTGGGTTCCCTCCTGGGGCTTCTTCATCGCTGCAGTGGAAGTGGGGGGAGCAGGGTGGTCAGAGGCCACCTGGCTGTGTGACTGCCCAGCTCCCACCCTGAGCTCTGGGCACCACCGATATCCACAGGTGCTGGCCAGTCCTCTGTGACAGGCATGGGCATACCAAGGGGGCTCACATCGGTGCGAACATGGTGTGGGGGGCATGCTTCAAGGGTGGTCTTGGGACCTCTATGGAGGGGACACTAGTGCAGCACCAGCACAGACACCAACAGGAGGGGCGTAAGGTGGGGCCAGGGAGGGGGACAGAGATGCCACCATAGGTGGGAAGCCACGCAGACCTGCTCTCTCTAGAGGGAAGCAGGTGCCTGCCAGGGGTGTGTGGGGGAGGGGCTTGGGGAGGAGTGTCTCTGAGGGACCTGTGGGCGAGGCTCTGACCCAGGCCTGGCTGCAGGGAGGGCATGTGGGGAGGCCTGGGAAGCGCCCTCTCTTGCTGTCCTCACTGGCTTCCTCCACCTGGCAGTGCTCTGTGACAGCCAGCCTGCCCTCTCCGCAATCGGAGCCAGAGTGTGGCTGGGGCCCACAGAGCCAGCCCCCTGGGCACACTTCCCCACTAGGGGCCGGCCCTTCTGCTCACTCTGCACTGGCAAAGGCCCGAGTTCGCTCCCCTGGGAGCCAGGAGGCCAAGGGTGAGGACGGCAGGCCCCGGGCTCAGAGGCTGCCTGTCCAAACCGTTACCTGTCACTGTCTTGTTGGACCCTGGCTGCAACTTTCTTCTCAGCCTTCGTGGACGCTGGGTCATCCAGGAAGCTGTGGTCAAGGCTGTCTTCAGGAACAAAATCCTCCACATTCTGGACTTTTCCTGGGGCTCCTGCAGCTGGGGCTGGCTCTGTGGACAGCAGATGACAGTTCCCACTTGCTCAGTGCCCACCCCGGTGCGGCCCATCCTGGGCTGCACCCCAGGGTGAGGACTCCAGAAGCCGAGGCATGTCTGAGGGGCTGTGGGGCTACGTGCCCAGGAGCAAAGAATGGACCTGCCCCAGTTGGCAACAGCTCGTGGGGCCAAGAAGGGGGTGCTGCTCGACCACCTGGACCACCACACACCCTCCTGAGGGGCTGCACCCTGGGCCTACCTGGAGGCACTGGGGCCACCTCGGCAGCTGGTGAGGTCCCGAACAGCCTGGAGATGATACTGCGCCGTGGAGGCGGGGCGGGGGCCTCCGTGGGGGTCAGGGGGGCTGGGCAGGCCGAGGGGACATGGAGGGGCGGCTGCAGGGCCAGCTGTGGTGTGCCGGGGCTGGAGCTCCCTGTGGACATGGTGCTTGGAGGCACCAGTGGAGACTGGGACCCTGAGGACGGGCTCTGCCCATTGGTCGCCAGTGGAGTTGCGTGGCCACGGCTGCGTGCCTCCATCACCTCGAGAAAGCTGGGGGGTGGAGGGACACGGGGCATGGGGTGAGGACCTGCCTTCGCAAGTACCCTCCCCTGGGGGGATGGTGACAGCAGCGTCCTCGCCCCTCTGGCTCAGGGCGCTGAGCGGTGTCCCGTAAAGGTGGACTGAGAGGCACGCTTTGTGCTACCCATCCAGGCCCCGTGTGTGGCCCCAGTGCGGAGCCTGCAGGACCTGACTGCAGAGAGGGGCTCCCACCCTCCCAGGTCGGGACGAGGAGTGGCCCAGGAACCAGGGGCCCTGAGTCCTCTTGGCCATGCTGGCCGAGGCACAGCTGTCCTGCTGGCTAAGGGCAAGGCCTCCCTCTTTGGAGACAGGCTTTCCAACAAGGCCTAGAATGGAGAGCTAGGACTGGAGGGCAGGGGCAGAAGGGAAGGCCAGGCAGGGTTCCAGCCCGATGCAGGCTGGCAGGGGCCCAGTCTTTGGCTCCTCGTCTCAACGGGGCCTAAGGCCCCGGCAAGTCCCCCACCTCCTAAGGGAAGGTAGTGGGGACCCCACCACCAGGCTCACAGTGCCTTCTTCCAGGGGCAGGTCTCGGACCAGGGAGGCCCAGCTGCCCTCTCCCAGGAACAACGGTGGTGGGGGGCGCCCAAGCTCTCAGTCAGAAGGAGCCTGCGGGAGTCAGTCACACGCAGGTTGGCTCTACGCCAAGGGCAGCAAGGGCAGCTGCTCGCCAGGGCAGGGTCCCTCGGGGCCGGCCTGGCAGCCTTCCTCTCTTGCATGTCTAGAACCAACAGCTGGCTCTGGGGGACCCAAAGGCTCTTCTGAGAGTTTCTTTGGGAGAACTACCTGCTGGGGGTGCTGGGAGGCATGGGGGGCCTGCCCAGGCTCCTGGGGCCTCAAGCACAGTGGGAAGCAGCCTCCTGTGCCCCCACCCCAGGCCCCATCTTTCTCTGGGAACCAAAAGAAGCACCTGCCTTGAGTGGGGCTTCAAGGCTGCACCTTCTCTCGTAAGGGTGAGAGCCTCCCCCAGAAGCTGTGGGCAGTACAGGCCTGCCCCCTGCCGTGCCACCCTGCCGCACCCGGATGCTGTTCTCCACCCACTGCTATCTTGCCCGAAGCACACATGCCACTTGGTGCCCAGGCACGGCCTGGAAAAGGCACCCTCGGAACAGACATCCCTCTGCTGCTGAGGACCAGAGGCTTTGTTCCCACTGCGTGAGCCTCCGCCACAGGTTCCCTTGGTCAATGGAAGACCCGACGCTACGCCAGCATCAACCTGGGAAACTGAGCTCAAAGCGGGAAGCAGCCTGGGCTGGAAACCTTCAGGCAGCTGGGCTTGCAGGGACCTTGGGTGGACATGAGTCTGGGTCAGTGGCACAACTTGTCCATACTGACAGATCCACCTGGAGTAGGGGGCGCTCAGCACAGACCCAAGTCTGGGGGTGTGCAGAGCAAGGCCCGCCCCTCAGGGTGCATGGGTGCCATTCCCGCAGGTGGGCCCTTGCAGGCCAGCCTCCGAGGCGTCCCTGGCTGACATACATGTCGTAGTTCTGGTCCTCGGTCTCCTGCTGCACCAACAACTCCTCCAACGTGGCGTCGATGTCCAGCTGGTTGGTTTCCAGCTGCTGCAGCAAAGTCTCTCTCTGCAGAGGAAGGAGAGCCCATTGCTGTGGTGAGCAGACCCCTCCTCAGCCTTGGCCAACAGCGAACAGCAGCTGAGCAGGGGTGGTGCAGAACACAGCCACCCAGAGACCCAGGTGGCAGCATGATGCCTAAGCCACCAGGTGGAGCTCTGAGGACGGGCGTCAGTGATGGGAGCAAACCACACGAGGCAGCCCCCAAAGCTTAAGAAGCCCTAAGACTTGGTGAAGACACAGCCTTCCCAGCGCACCCCCTTACCACCCTGAGGGCGGGCACTCCTGAGGCTGGGCCTGAGCATAGCCTGTGTTGACAGCTACGACTTGTCACTGCAGGACACCAAGGAGTTTCTGAGTACAGTGCTGACTGCCCAGGGGCAGAAGCCCATGCTGGGGTGGTCTCCACAGGATGTGTGCGCGTGCTCTGCCCAACCGAAAGAGGAAAGGATGGCCAGAGGATGCAGAGCGACACCACGTCCCAAGGGAAAGCACAGGAGTCCAGCGGTGGCTCCCCAAGCAGTCAGGGGTGCTGTCCTGCTAACCAGAAATGGTGGCTGCCTTTGCCCGTGGGCACACACTTCTTTCAGAAGGAAAAAGGCACGAGGATAAGAAAGCCTGTGCCTCTCCTGGGCCAGTTCCTTGTCCTTTTAGAGAAAGAACAAAAGCTGCCAGGGCTTCAGAGGGGTCATGGGTCAACATCCTGGCAACAAGCTGTGCAAAGATCATGTGCCCCCACTACGATGTGGTAAGGGCTGCCTCCGCGGTCTTCTGCCTACAAATCCATAATCTAAGGCCAGATAGACCCTAAGCCAGGTTTGTTTGAGGCCTGTCACAGGCCCACGCAGCCCACTGGAGTGAACACTGTGTGTGGGGTGGGGCCTGGCCAGGGCCGGGACAGAGGGTGTCCGGAGGAGGGGTATCCTGGACAAAGCCTGTATTTAACCAGCAGACAAGCATGTCCATGGTTTTGAGAAAAGCAGCCTGGGAACATGAGTTTTGGGTGAAGGTAATGAGGATATGGGAGCCCTCTACACCATCTCTGCAACTTTTGTATAAATCTAAAGTCACTCCAAAACGGAAAGGACCCTGCATGCTGTGCAGAGGGTGGGCTGGGGGACAGCTGTGGGTGGAAAGGCCTGGGTCCCCATCGAGGGTGGCTGGCCCAGCCACAGGCCAGCAGAGGAGCCAGGGAGTGACAATGGACACCACCGTCCTGATCTGGGTGCTTGGGGGGGTCACGTGCACTTCAGTGAAGAGGGACCGGCATGTGGAGCAGCGCAGCACCACAGCAGGGGCAGAACTGAGGCCAAGGGAGGTGGGGTCCAGGCCTCCAGCCCCAAATGGTAGGAGACATAGCCTGCGAAGAATGCTGTAAGGACGCCTGTGTCCTGTCTGTGGTCCTTCAGAGGCCTGGGCCGCCCCCCCCCATCCCCCGCCTTGTCCCGGCCAGCCCGGCAGGGGGGAGGGCCACCAAGGCCACCAGCACACTAGTCTTAGCTGCTGCCTGTGCCCCAAGTCAACTGCTGAACTGCCTTCTCAGGGGTCAGGAGGGTGGCCTGATTCCCGAGCCAAAGGGCACCTGAAAAGCGAGTGGCACCACTCTGCCCTGGGGCGCGGCTCACCTGGAGCTGCAGAAATGGGACGTTGAGGAACTTATGCAGATACTTCAGGCCAAAGCCGTTCTTCATGGAGGACTCGGCATAGCGGAAGTAGGAGGAGCCAGGGGGCCTGTTTGCATAACGAGGGCAGGCGTGAGGGACCCCGGCAGCTGTGGGCCTCAAGCTGCAGCCCTCTGGGCCAGGCCTCCCGCCCACCAACCTCAGGGTCCCGAGCCGCCTTCTGCATGGCGGAGGGAACTGTGCTCCCCCACCTTCTGACCCTGACTGACCCCCACCAAGTGCATGTGTCTGTCTGCAAGAGCCCCCGTCCCACCATTTCAGCTCTGCAGCCTCAGGCTGTGCTGCTCAGGTCCCCCAGCCGCCCTTGTGGGTCCCACTAGAGCAGAGGCTGGGGGACCAGCGCATGGGTGTGGTGGAGTGACACCCACCTGTGCAGGCTGTCAATGAAATGGCGCACATCATCCGGCAGGACCACCCGGTGCTCACCCATGTCGCGGCAGTTGCCCAGCACACACACTGGCACGTGGGTCGGCACCTTGGGCAGCTCCCGCATGATGTAGTTGAAGGTCCTGGGGAGACACACGAGGAAAGACCACCTTAATCTTTCAGCCATGAGCCCCTGCCCCTGCCCTGGAAGCCCACATCTGTGTCCTGTCTGAGGGCCCTCCCTGGGGCAGGGCACTGGGCCTCGGCACTCTCCCCAGTACACCGGTGCGGCGGTGGCCCCGGCTCCAGGTGCCCCCATCCTGGAGCTGTCTTCGTCCTCTCATGTAGGAATCCTCTCTGCCTTGTTTTCCTGCCTGTGCCAAAGGGCACAGCTGCCGCCTGTGGGGCTGAGGTGTCCCTTCTGCTGTCCTGGGGCTTTGATCTTTGGGGGCTTTGAGGTGTCTTAGCACAGGGCCCACACCTGTCTCCCAAATGGCATGCAAGAAACTAACGACGTGTGACAAAACTTTGGTAATTTAGACAAAATCGACACAGTCAAGAAATAGAGTGTGCACCTCGTTTACAATTTGACTTTATTTCCTGTATTTACACACAGTAAAAACCTAACAAAGGGCCAGGGATGGCTGCCCTCCTGCACCTCATTGGTCCACAGCTGCCCCACGTGCTGGGACAGGACTTCCTCTGGCCTGCACAGCTCACCTAAAGCACTGGCTAAGCCATGGGGGGTCCCGGGGAGCCATGGTTCTGCACGGCGGGGTCCCAGACAAGTCTGCTTTTGCCACCCAGGCACCACCGTACAGTGGTGTCCAGCAGTCCCCGGGCTCCCAACCAGGCACTGCTGGACTGCAGGCCACTTGTACCCAGGCCTCCAGCCTCATGGATGTGTGCCTGCGCCACTTCCTGGGCTGTGCGCTGCTGTGGGCACCCCTCCTGGCCCGCGGGGCCCCTCTTCCCTGCGGCCCTCTCTTTCTCCAGGGCGCTGCTCACTGCAGTGGCGATGCTGAGGCAGCCCCCACCTGGCCGAGCAGTGTTAAGTGTCTACACCAGGTTCCATACAGGACAGGACGCCTCTAGTCCCCCGGCTCACGCAGGAGGTGCCCCTCCTGCCCAGTGCAGACCCAAGAGCAGAGCCTGCTGCCTCTCCCGGGTGTGCTGGGACCTGTATGTTCCACCAAGCCCTGCAGAGGGCTCCACTACCCCTCCCCTTCTGGACATTTCCAGTGTGCCACCTGCCACCACCCAGGGGCTTCTCACACCCACCCTGGCAGTCAGTCTGTGATGGGGGCACCACAGTGAGCGCCCCTGCAGGCAGAGGCTGGAGCAGGCGGCATCAGATCCCCCAGACTCGAATCACTGACGGGAGCCCAAGGCTGAGTGCAGGAACCCATGGAAGACTGAGGGGTCCACCGAGGCACCATCACCTTCCTAAACAGAGTGGTGTCTGTAGGGCTGCATGTGAGGCCCCGGGGTGGGGAAAGACGATGTGTGCGACAGCCAGAGGCCTGGCTGGAGGCTCCCCCACCCCCGACAGTGACAGGCAGCCTGTGATGGTGGGTCAATTTTTCTCTGCACTTCCTGATTTTTCTACAATGAGCACAGATCACAGATGCAGTAATAAAAAACCCGAGAAGAGCAGAAACGCAGGGTGAACTTGATGCAAGCTGCCATCAGTTCCTCCTTGAGCTTTTTAAGATGTTTTTGGAGCATGTAAAGTGGGCCTAAGGCTTCCAGCCCTGGAAAGGCCCGCCTGCCAGGCTGACAGGGGGAACAGGCTCTTGGGCATCCCAGCCACCAGCTCCCAGCTGAGGGCTTGTTGCACCTGCACAGCCAGGCCTATGCACAACACCTGCTTTCCTTCTGGGAGGCGGGAACCCCACACGTTGGGCAGGACCCGGGTGCTGTCTCAGAAGCCCCCCTGGTAGACACCACTGTGTATGTGCCATGTCCACCTGACTCTGTGGAGAGGACCCTTGGGAGCTGACACTGGCTTCCCCACACCGCCCCTGGGTCTGATCTTACTCTGAAACCTCCTGCTGTGATGAACTTAGCTGTGCACCCTCCCAGCAAGTCACAGAATGTGGGGGTCTTGGGGAGCCCCAACACTTGATTCTGCCAAAGTTAGATGGTGCTTTCCCGGCATGCTGTGGGCCTGTGGAAGGTGTGTCTCACCACTGCCGTCCCAGCCCACCTGCTGAGGTGAACCTCTCACCCGCTCCACGTCCACACTTACAGATGCCTGGAAATGTCCAGGCCGGGGCTGTTGTGAGGCTGAACTGCCAGTGTGAACTGACGGTCTGCGCACCACTGGCTGCGTGGTGTGGTGCTAGGTGCCATGGTGGCTGTCACCAGTCAGCGCCCCCTTACCACTGCTTGGTGATGTCGAACATCATGACCACCCCGTTACAGCTCTTGTACACATCCAGGAACTCGGCGTCCAGGGCCATCTCAGACTCTACCTGGGGATGGGAGGGAATCGGGCACAGAGAGACTGCTCAGAGCAGAGTCCTGTAGGCGAGAACCCAGGGTCCTGGAAGAGGCCGAACACAAGACTTTACAATCAGGAAAAATAACAGTGGTTTTTGTTTTGGAAAAAAATAAATAAACAAGATGATCTACTGTGGGGGTGGAAAACTGTCTCGAAGGGTCTGGCTGGGAAAGTTCAGACCCTGGGCCAGTGCATCGACTTAGGGTCTCCACCAGCCAGCAGCACTCTCCTCAGGACAGGTGTGTCCCCCAGCATGGAGGAAAAGTATTTGCAAAGAACCTTCTAGGGCACACAGACCGGTGGCTGGGGGCTATGAGCGGGGGCAATGTGCCAAGGGGCCAGAGAGATGTGGCTGCACGGCCACTTTAACACCCTGCCCTGAAGTGGAGCAAGAGGCTGCCCACCAGCCCGAGGCCTCCAAAGGTGGGAGGGCACAGCTTCCGAGGACGGAGGGCCAGTTTGCCCCGACTCCTTTCCGTCAAGGGCACTGGCAGGGACAGCCCGCTTGGAGCCATGCTCACACCTCCTGTGCCCGGGGCCCCGGCTTGAAGGTGTGGCCTGTGCTGAGGCCTCTATGATGGGTATACAAAATTTGGTCAGTTCACCTAAACACCTTGGTCAAACTCATCGCAGAGCCTGGCAACTGTCACGACATGTCAGCACAGGCAAGCCCAGCTACCCCCAAACGGGACCCTGGTCGGCACAGGGGCAGCGGGGGGCCACCACGCCCGCCGGAAACCACCAGAGCAAGCAGAGTCCTCAGGAGGGCCAGGCACGCAGGTCACAACCCCCTCCCAACCGCGGCCACGCGGGTATGGGTGTGGCTCACCTCCTGGGGATCGTTCTCCATCTTCAAGCCATCCCCTCGCTTTTTGCATTTTCCTTATTAAGAGACAGAAAGCTGGGCTCAGGGATGGCCCAAGGGAGGAGCACCCCGTGCTCACGTCCCGCACCTCAGCTCCCACCACCTGCAGGCGCCAGGCTGACTGGGCCAGAGCCCTGGGGGCTGGGACCTCATTCGGGGAGGGCACTGGGGCAGCACAGGCTCAGTGGGCCACACAGCGAGGCTGCCCTGCTTCCACCTGGTCCCCGCCGTGAGAAGGTGCCACGGGCCGCCCAGCCCAGCCTCTGAGGCCCTGCCTCCAAGGCCCTGGAGGCTCCCAAGCCAGTACTGCAGATGACCAGGGGGGCCCAGGAGGCCCATGGAGCCAAAGCCCTGGGGGCTCCCGAGTCATAAAGCTCCTGCCCATTAGCCTTCCCTTCCCTCTATTGAAATATTAGGAGGAAGGGCATTCCAGGGCCCCCAGTCCAAGAGTAACGGGCAAAACAAGCCCCGAACACACTGGGGTTTATTAAAAGCCAACCTCTGCCTCTTTCCACAGCTTCCTCCGAATCTCCTGCCACCTTCTGGTCTGTCTCTGCAGGCGGTCCCAGCTCAAGAAGAGCTGGCCACGCTGCGCCGGGCTGGTGGCTGTTCTGCGGCCAGTGCCGCAGGCTGAGCTCTGGCGGGGGTGGCTCCCCAGGCCCTGCCGCACCTGCCCCTCCAGCACTACCCTCAAGCTTGGGGAGCCACCACTGCCAAGCAGAGCTACCAGCACTCGGGGGAATGCTGGCGGGGAGTCAGGGTGGCACCTTGCCTTCTGGGTGCCCCCGTGCATGGTTCTGGCCCCTGCCACATGACCTCTTCACTGGCTCTCCTTTGCCCATGGAGGTCTTGGCCTCGGCTGCCCTCTCTCTGAAACTGGACACCCCCCACTGCTGCGGACGGTGCTCAAGACTCCATCCGGCTGGTGACAAGTTAGGGTGGTGGAGAAAGACGCTCTTCCCTTATTCAAAGGCTCTCACCCAAAGGGACCAAGTGACGACTGCAACGGGGCGCCATGTGGGGCCCCAGATAATGGGGCACCTGGACCCCAGATAACAGGACACCTTGCCACTGGCACTGCAGGTCTCTGGGTCTGGAGCTGCCCAGCCCTGCCAGCCGGCCCCTAGCTGAACCCGCCTGCCAAGTGCTCAGTCTCAGCAGGTGAAACATTTTCGACCTGCGCAGACTAAAGGGCCCTGACAGGTCACCGCGTGCGTTCCACCCTGTCCAACAGACACGCCGGGTAAAGCCGGGGCCCCGGAGACGTGTGTGGCAGCTGCACAAACCCTGCCCTCCTTCCCTGGCCATGCGAGACCTTGCATGGGGCAGAAGCTGACGCTGAGCCTGATGAGGAACCGGAAGTCCGAGGGGAGGAGGACAGGCAGGTGAGGGGGGGGCAAGGAGGCGCCCCTTCCCAGGACACACAAGGCATCAGGGAGAGAAGAGCTCGTGAGGCGAGCGCCACTCACCTTTGTCGACCACGTCCCAGACTTCAACTTTGACGATATCGTCAGTGGCTGAAGTAGGGGGAAAATGCCACAGTTAGTACACAAAGCAAACTTCTGGTTTCAAGATGGGCATTTAGGGGCCACTCCCCAGGGCACCCGGCTCCTGCCCAGGCCTAGCACTCCCTCCGGAAGCCTGGGAGGCTCCTTGCTTCTGGCTCCGCTCCAGGCGCAGGGCAAGACATGTCCTTGGCTGGCACACTCCTGGGTCCCTGGGGTGGGCTCATCCCCAGGCACACTGCACAGCCAGGGGCATCTGTGCCCACAGCCCAGGCCCGCAGCCTCTGCAGCCCCAGCCAAGGAGCAGGCAGCCAGTGCCAGAGCAGGTCTGAAGGAGCTGACTGCTCCCGGCTGCCCCTTGTCCGGTGGCCAGCCTGGTCTTCGTTCTGAGGGACAGTGGGGAGGCTGGTACTCTCTACTGGGTCGGCCCAGTGTCATCACTTCTTTCAAAAGCCTTTGCAGCACCAGGTGGCGTGAAGTGGCCCTGCGAGGGTGGGCCTTGAGAGGCTGCTGGGACACAGCTGCCCGGTGCCCCCGCCAGGCTGTCTTTCGTGGAGCTGCTGTCTGTGCATTCCTTCCAGGCAGGGTGGCGATAGGGGCTCTGCAGCAGCAGCTCTGTGCTGACCTCGGAGCAGCTGGTCTGGTGTTAGGGCCCCAGGGCAGCAGCTGCCGAGGATCCCAAGGAAAGGGGCGAGGCGGGGAGCCCCTGCACTGAGGGCCCCAGCAGTGGACTGACGCCCAGCTTCATCCCGAACCGGGAAGGGGGCCGTGGGGGCTTCTCTGCGCTGCCCTGACAGCGGCCACACCCAGTCACGGGGCCCCACGCACCCCCAGGATGCCTCCCTGTGGTAAACCTGGAGCTTGCCTCTCTGCCGCCTCTGGAGCAGAGCAGGGCCCCCGCCACTGCTCCGCCTGCTTCTCAGGGCCGGTCTCCCCCGGGAGAGGGGCCTGCAGGGTGACCCAGAGTGGCTTTAGTGAGTCTCATGATAACCCCTCAGTTCACTGGGGCTCCCACATGCGCACAGTGTCTCCACACCAAGGCTGACGAAGGAGCTCCCGGGGGACAGAGGCAGAGGAAGGCGGAGGAATGAGAGTCCCCGCCCCACAAGGGGCCCCGAGCGGCCCCCGAGGGGACCCCCCACCCCCTCACTTTTGTAGCTCCAGTGGATGCTGGTGACCTGGATCTCCTGCGTGGGGATGTACTCCTCCACGAACTTCTTGCCCTGCAGCCGATGCCACAGCGTGGTCTTGCCCGTGTTCCTGTCTCCTCGGATCACTATCTTCACTGGGGGGAGGGGAAGAAAGGTCAGATCAGGTGAACAAATCAAACCACAGGCAAACCAGGGCCTCACCAGGGAGTCTGTGTGCCACCCACAGAGACTGTGGCCTGCATGGCTGGTGGCACAGAGGAGCTGACAGCGGGGGTTGGGCTGGCCAGCGGCCCTGAGGGGGACAAGACCTCCTGGGCAGTCTGCAGAGGAGACCCAAGGTGCCCACTCAGTGCTCGCACAGTGTCCTGGCGGCCCAGCCCCAGAGGCGTGTCCTCCTGGGCTGACAGAGTGGGAGCCTGGTCAGACTCTGTACCGGTAGGAAAGCAGGTGCACCCTGAACCAAGCCTGGGGACCCTGCTCCCAGGGTCAGGCTCAGGCTGTCAGAGGAGCCAGGGGCGGAAGCTGCCCTCCCTAGATGGCTTCCGAGATGTCGAAGGTTTGCCTCCACCGACTTTCCGCAGCCCTGGTATGTCTACCGTGCATACCGTGTATGTCAGACCTGCAGGCCTCCCAAGACCTCGCATGTGGGTTACACGTGTGTGGGGCTAGGAAGCCTGGACTCCACTATGCTCACTGAACAAGCCCTGCAGACAGTGCTGCCTGTGCCGCAAACGTGAGCGCATGGCCACAAACAAGCACCCAGGCAGCAGGGCGCACGGACTCGGGCAGGGGTGGGCTGAGCGCCTGCAAGGTGCCGGCGGGACAAGCATGCAGCACAGGAGCTTCCCGCCGCCTCCAGGATGGTGCTGGGTTTAGCCTGAGTGCCGCCACCTGGACTGTTCTGGAAAGAGGATGAAGGAGACCGGGTGGGTGTAGGCAGAGCTAGGGGCAGCGGAGTGAGGTGACGTTAACTGCTGCCAGACTGGGTCTCCAGGGAGGAGTGCTCGTGTCAGAAAGACTCTGGTCCAGCCAACGAGTGGACGGTGGTGCCTGCCGGTGGGCTGGGCAGCCTGCAGACAGAAGCCCCCACCACGGCTGCGGAGCAGCCACCCCGCTGTGCCCGTCCTGCCCCCTCCTCCGTGAAACCTGGTCACCAGGCCAGTGCCTTGTCCCGGCTCATCCCCCAGTCCTGATTTCAGTCATGAGATGCGTCAGCTCTCCTCACACTTCGAGCATCTCCAGCCAGGCCTCCATCCTGCCCTGTATCATGTTGCCAAACAGGACACCTGGGAGAGCCACCACTCTCACACTCGCAGGTAGTCTTGTCCTGATTCTGGCCAGAGGCCGATCATGGGCCCAGACTGGGAGGTGCCACATAGATCCGGGGGTGTCCTGGGTGTGAGTCCACCTCGGGCAGGGAGGATGAGAGGACAGAGAGGCTGTCTGCCCCCCGACGCCTCCTGGGCGGCAGGCTCCCGATGTCCCAGGAGGTCGGTGGCCAGGCTGAGGGCAGGAGGGCGAGCCCAGGGCGCAGGCCCGGGTGCCCTGGGCGCAGGCAGGCACCGCTGTGCATTGTCCTCTCCATTGCTTTTCACAGCCCTGGAGTCTCGTTCCTACTCGCAGGTCCGTTTCTCAGTTTCTCGCCTCCCTGGCTTTCAGATCGACTGACTTTAGGCCCCTGCTGTGCCTTCAAACTCCTTTAGGTATGTTATTGTCCTGACTATGTTCTGTGCAGTCTCAGGTCTCTGGAGCTCAGGTCCCACATTTGCCCCCAGTGCTGGTGCCACTTGGGGACTGGGGTTCTCTTGATGCTTCACTGGCACTGTGTGTGCCCCTGAACTCCATCCACGGCCCTCCTGGAGATATGGGTCAGAGGTGCATCCTCAGAAAGTTATCTGTGGTATTTCTGTCTGTTGCCTGGAACTGCCACCTTGGGAATAGCATTGGAGTTTTTGGGCTACACAAAATGACTTGGAGTAAAGCCACCTGGAGGTCAACCTGGGCTTACAAGTACTTGGGGCACCCTTCCCGGCCGGATTCTAGACTTCCCTTCTGCCCGAGCCCTCTCAGTTGGAGCCAGCAGTGCCCCAACCCCTGGGAACAGGGAACAGGCAGCTTCAGAGCAGGCTCCCCTCCCAGTGTCCACTCCCTCTCCTTTTAAGTAAAGAGAAATGAGCAGCTGAGTACCCTTTATCCAAGGTCGAGAGCTGAATGGTGAATTTTTACAAACTATTTTTAAGGGCAGGTCATCGGCTTTAACACAGCTGGGACAGAAGTGGGCACCGAGGGAAAGGCCAGGTGTTAGTCTGGTGTTCAGTCCCTTACACGTGCAAGCATCCAGAAAAACACAAAACCCTTATTTCTGATTTTATGTCAATTTCACTCCTAAAGAAGGACTTACATCTGCCTCATACTTATTTTTCCTGTGCTGGGTGGACTTCGTACACCAACAAAAAGCTTGGGGAGAATGGGGAGCTCTTGTCTTCAGTCCAGGGCTTGAAAAGAAGGCATCCTGTCTCATCACATGGACGTGGCTTTTGGTAAAGGCCCTTCAACAGGTGGACGAGGGTCCCTTTGGTGCCCAGTCTGCCAAGAAGTGGGATTTGTCTTTTACATATCATGAATGGGTGCTGAATTTTATCAGATCTTTTTCTTGCACCTGCTGACATTATGTTTTCATTTTTATCTACTAGTAAAGCATGTAATTCATACTTTCTATTAATCCCTTCATTTGTGGGGAAATCCTACTTCATCCCAGCATAGAAAACTACCATTACTAACAGAATAATTTCCTAGATCCAGTTTCCTCACCTTTTACTGGGCCTTTACACGTGTGCTCAGGGTGACTGCAGGTCTCTGCCCTGGCTGTGGTTGTGGGGCCTGGCGCCCCCACCCTGTGCACAGCATGTGGCCGCTCACTTTGTGCCCAGCGCGACTCCTGGGGGCTGTGCACGGCCTGCACTTCTCACACAGTCTGTTTTAGAAAAGTTCTCTAGGTCATTGAACATTCCAAGTTTTCAATGTTAGCACCAGGTCACTTGTGACATTTTATGCTTAAAAGCTCCACTTGCGTATTCTTATCACTCGGTCTTACTTTGTCTCTTCCTTTATCCATCTTCCCTATGTTTGTCCACTGTGTTCATCACGTACACACACTCGAGATTCTGCTGAAAATGATTAATTCTTCTTAAAAATTCCTTGTTTCTGCTACTTTGTTTCTTTCCCTTCACTTTCTTGGGATTTTGTTCTTTTCCTAGGTTTTCAAATTGAATTCTTCAAAATGATCACTACAAACATGGGGGGTGTTCATCATCACTGGGTTACACTATTTCCCATTTGCTTTCTTCTTTGACCCACAAATCATTTAGAAGTGGTATCACTTCTACAAGTGTCACAAAAAGAAGAGTTGTTGTTTATTCAGACCCAATTTTACTCACTGTGGGCCCAGAACGTGGTCTGTGTGGCATCCACTCCACCCAGGCTGAGACTGTCCATCTGCAGGAGAGCTCCTTGGAGGAGGGGAGGGTGGCTCAGCCAGTTCTGAGCCCCCACGGAGCTGCCCTCCGGCTCCCCCATTCTGCTCACCGAAGGGGCATCAGGCGCAGCTGCTCTGTGGCTATCATCTGCCTCTGCTTTGTTTCCAACTCCGTGCGCTCACCCTCTCTCTGCTGTGGTCTGGATGTGTCTCTTACACCGGCCGCCATTACTGTGAGCTGTGTTTCCAGCTTATTGGCTATTCCTCTGAAGGCAGCACGTAACAGCCAGCAAAGAAAAAAACCCAAT